CTTTGTTCCTACAGCCTTTTAATTTGGAATCAAATATATAAAGGCTCAGAGAATGTGGTTGCTGATGCTCTCTCTAGATGTTTCATGTAGATGCATGGTGCTACTTTGTACATAGTGTTTTTCTTGTGCTGACCTTGTTGTTTTTGCAGTGGTGAACTCTCACGAGCCTGAGTACTTCTCCACCATCTGACTGTGAGGAGTCGAGTCAGAGCCAAAAGGTTTACGAGGGTCAGGGCGTACTTAAATGTGAGTTGAGGCAGTGGTTGACAACCTTCGGTAACAGAGACGTTCAGAAGGTATGTGATTTGTGTCTTGGTGTGCTCTAATACAAAACGCCCGACGGTTTGCCTTTGTGGCCCTGGACCCCTCCATGTTCTATGTCAGCCCCTTTTCATAAGTTTGGAGGAAACGGGGGGATGGGACCTCGGAAGATGGGCTTGAGTGCCTGACCATGTTAAGGATCGTGAGTGTTGACTGGAAGTCTCACTGTTTGGTTCGGCCACCAAGTGAGAGACACCTTGACATGTTTGTGAAGTTCCTGCCTGGGGTACACCTGACTGCTCTGGGTTTGGCTCTTACTCTCGTCTCCCGATCAGGAAGATGCCACCCTGGAGTACCATTGCTTTCTGGATTACCGCAGCAGAGGCACAGGCCTGTTGGTGCAGGCTTTCACAGTGGACATTGTGTGCAATTCTTGCAAATTTTAATGTGTATTGTTTAAAAGCCACTAAATTGTTAATAGTTACACCCTTGAGTATATGGGTATGGTTAAAATGCTTTTATAAAAAATTCTGCAATCTGTTGTAAATAACATAAAGTGAGGAGTAGTTATGGTGCTAGGGAAAAATGTACATTTCTAGTAGTCTTGTTTACCGCCTTCAGACCCTTTAAACAATATACTTTTTACTAGCCGTATCCTGAGGGGCACGGCTAGCTTTTGTGAGACTTCGTCTGGAGGTGGGGGTGTTATGGGGATATAGGACCCAACATGTATTTATAAGTACAGTTACTATAATAATACCTAATTATATTGAATTGATGGGGGCTTTGCTCTAAATGTCAGAAGGACTGATCAACCTTATGACTGAGAGGCAGCTGGTCAAACCTATTTTTCTCAATATAATAGGGTTTTACTATAGACACATAAACACACAATTTAAATAAGTAGTTTTAAAAGTTGTATTTCTTTTGTAAAAGTAAAATTAAGGTGTGGGAGAATTGTGGTAACTGGAGAAGTGTGCTTGGCAACAGTCTTTGTTTGGTGGAGGAAACTTAGGTAGGCTTCTCCTCTCCCCCTCTCACTGACTCTCTCTCTCTGTGGCTGACCTTCAACCTGGCAGGGTCTCTGGGTCCTTCTCCTATCTTTTGGGGCATCATGTTGCTCCAGGGTGAGTTTTTTATAATTTAAGTTTTGGCCACCATACCCAGGGTGACTAAATGTTTTCAAAACACTGGTTAGCCCAGAGTTTATGTCAGGAAGAGTGAAGGACCCAAAAGTTGTTGCAACACACCATGGGAGCACAGGTATGGAGTGTGTAGATTTTGTTTTGAAAATGGAGGCTGTGATTGTATATTCTGTACATATCTATTGAGAATACAGTTATATTTTTATAGTAGTAGTTTACATAACCTGTGAAGAGGGCTGGTGAAAGGGCATCAGAGACACTCAAGATGATCAGCCATGATGTAAGTATTACCCCTAGACAGATAAGGCCATTAAGTAAAAAGCTACCCCCACACTAGAACATGTAGTGAGAACCTTACCATCCAAGAAATAAGGGAAACCAACGTAACAACCACCCAGGAAGGTACTACCATCCTGCCAGGTGAGTGTGAAATGGAAGCCTGTAATTGTTTTACATGATGGTAGGATTGCTGGTGTCATTTTTTCTGTCTCATAAAGATGCAGAATAACAGGTATAACTTGCTACTTCTACTTACACTTAACCCTTTCAGGGTTGGTGTCGTACTAGTACGGCTTGCACGCAAGGGTTGGTGCCATACTAGTACGTGTAAACTCTAGTGCCTTCAAATCTAGCGAGAGAAAGCTGGTAGGCCTACATATGAAAGAATGGGTCTGTGTGGTCAGTGTGCACAGTATAAAAAAAAAATCCTGCAGCACACAATGCATAATGAGAAAAAAAAACTCAGACCGCATTTTTGGTTTAAAACAGCAACTTTGTAGTGTATTTTTGTATGGTATTTATGATTGTATTCTTGTTTTCTTGGTCTCATTTTATAGATTGGAAGACATATTACAGGAATTGAGATGATTTTGATTGGGTTCACAATGAAAAGTACCTTGAAATTGAGCTCAATGTAGCAGAAATGTTCTATTTTTGCCAATGTTCAGAAGTAAACAAATCATGCCACGCGTCCAACACACGTCAGCTGGTGAGTCTAATATTCTTTCACAAGTGCGCTAATATTATTTATACCATTTTTACACTAATGCAGTAGTCTGCATAACAGTAAATCTTCTATTTTTTGTGAGAATAAAAATTCGAAGTGGAAAGCAAAAGAAATGTAAGAGGGGCCTGGAGATGTAACTAATGAACAGAGAAAATGTTATTTTAGTGCCAGGAATGTCTGTCTTGTTTATTCTGGACTATTTTGAAATTGGCATCTTGAAATTTGTGAAATTAGCAAAATTGCCAATTCTGACCACTTTATTGGATAGTTGATATCAGTAAATGGGTGGTTTCTTGTACTCATTCAATAGAACAAATGGATTTCTAGCAAAATAGCTATGACTTTTGTCAACTGGTACAATGGAATTGGCCGAAAATAGAGCTCAAAGTGGGCGAAATCGCCGATACGTAAACATCGTCAAGACAGTTAACTTTGCGAGAGCATAATTCCATAAGTTTACCATCAAATTTCATACTTTTGGTGTCATTATGATCTGGATAAGATTCTCTATCATAAGAAAAAAAATAATTTTTTTTTTTCGAAAAATTGCGACCGAGAATGAGTTTAGGAGAGGGCCTTGCGACCCTGAAAGGGTTAAGTCACATTTCTTAATAGTTCTTGTTCTTTTTTATTTCCTCTTATCTCCATGGGGAAATGGAAAAGTTCTTCCTCCATAAGCCATGCATATCGTATGAGGCGATTAAGATGCCGGAAGCAAGGGGCTAGTAACCCCTTCTCCTGTATAAATTACTAAATTTAAAAAAAAGAACTTTTATTTTTCTTTCTAGGGCACCCTGCCTCAGTAGGATATGGCCGGTGTGTTGAACAAAAAGAAAAAAACCTAGTGTAATAGGAGTCCAGTCTTTGGAAATGTGAAAGACAGCAGAGTTTGCTGCTTAAAAATCTTTCTTGTGAATATGCAACATTCTGCCCTCTTCCAGGGTAAAATGATGTATGCCAGACATAAGATGAATATTTTTTTTATTAACACATTGGCTGCTTCTCACCGAGGCAGGGTGACCCGAAAAAGAAGAAACTCTTACCATCCATGCCATCAGTCTTGCTAGAGGTATGCCAGCACTACAGTTCAAAAACTGCAACACATCTCCACCCCTCCTTCAGAGTGCAGTCACTGTACTTTCCACTTCCAGGACTCAAGTCCAGCTAACCAGTTTCCCTGAATCCTTTTATGCTACTTTGCTTACACTCCAACAGCATGTCAAGTCATGAACACCATTTGCCTCCACTCGCTCCTACCTAACACCCTCAAGTACACTTGCTGGAAGTCTGAACCCCTCGCAAACAAAACCTCCTTTACCCCCTCCCACCAACCTTTCCAAGGAAAACCCCTATGCTCTCCAAGTAATTCAATTTTGTTTCATCTTCTCCAAATGTCTGAAGCACCTCAACAACCCCTTCTCAGCCCTCTGGAGGGCTGAGAAGGCATAAGGCTGAGAGGGAATAATATTCACACAACACATTGCCCTCAAACACAACATTTGCACTGCCCCAGCCTTCTCCTTCTTGCAACATTCACCACCCATGCTTCACAACCATATAAGAGCGTTGGTACCACTACACTCATACATTCCCCTCTCTTTGTTTCCATGGATAATGTTCTTTTTCTCCACAGAATCCTCAGTGCATCACTCACCTTTTTTTCTCTCGTCAGTTCTATGGTTCACTTCGTCTGACAAATAAACTCCCAAATATCTGAATACATTAACTTCTGCCATACTCCCTTCCTCCAATCTTTCATTACTAAACTTTTTATCCTCATCACCTTGCTCTTTCCTATGTTTACTTTCAATTTCCTTCTATTACACACCCTCCCAAATTAATCCACCAATCTCTAACTTCTCTTGAGAATCTCCCAAAAGCACAATGCCATCTGATGAACAGTATTAATTTAAATTATATAACCAACTATTATCCATGGGGAAGTGGAACAGAATTCTTCCTCCCAAAGCCATGTGTGTCGTAAGAAGCGACTAAAATGCTGGGAGCAATAGGCTAGTAGCCCCTTCTCCTGTATATATTACTAAATTTAAAAGGAGAAACTTTCGTTTTTCCTTTTGGGCCACCCCACCTCAGTGGGATACAGCTGGTATGTTGAAAGAAAAAAGCCAACTATTTTCCCAAATCCATATAAAGAGGATTCAGATCAGTCTAGTATGCTGTGAAAAGTATTCTGATGCTGGAATTTTCCCCTTAACACATTTCTTCTCATCACCAACTAGAATTCATTTAGCTAAAGATATGAGCAACAAAGATTTGGGCAAGCCAAAATTTTACACCAAAATTACTGATCATTTTGCTTAAAATTCATGAGAAATATCATAGAAGTAATTTGAAAATGGTAAATTAAATAGTGCCGCATTATTACTTCCTCTTTTATTAGTTAAATGAATTAATAAAAACAAATATTTATTAATATTCACACTTCAGCTTCATCAAAAAGTTCATGGTAACTGTGTCATTTGCATACCCCAGTATTTTTTTCAGAACACACCACTGGTTATGAATTAAATACTAAATATATAATATATACCATTACAAAGGCAAATTACATATGGATAGAGAGACAATTTTAAATTTCATATTTTATATATGTATACTTATTCTGTATTCAATAACATCTATTGTACTGTATGTACCAAGTTCTTACACCCTCTCAAGAAACTGTCTTGTTGAAAAAAATCACAAAGTAGCATGATTTTAGGAAAATTTTCTTATTTATTACAGCTGGCTCAAGTCTACATGAATCTTCTTTTCCTTTATGTAAATATTTTGCCTTAAATAATAAATGTTGCAGGAATAATAATAATAATAAGCTTGGATAATTAAACTGGTCATGAGATATCCAAAGAAACTCCTAAAACTGATCAAAATATTATTAGCAAGAATTACAAACATACTATTCATCAATTTTATAAAGAATATATAGATTAGCTTGATCACACTAACTGCATATTATTGCTGTAAATAGATAAAGATAAACAAACTCGAAAAAGAAATACTGCCAACAAAGGACTTTTGATTACAACAACTTACATATGTCATATGTGGTATAAAAAAAAATACAATCTTCCAGTAAAACCTGTGTGCTACAAAATCTATAGAATCAATGATATTGCTCTTATGAGAACAGCATTTCTCAAAAAAAAAAAAAAAAAAAATGAAAGAGTCATAGAAGAATGCTTGTTATAATATTTGCTTCACTAAACCACATACAATTTTTTCACAATAAACATGAAATATACACATATAAAAGTTACAAAACTCCTGTATGAAATTTTCACATTACCTTGCAAAAAACATTTAGTCATGAAATGTATCACTTAGCTCAAAATCACTTTTTATTAGATTTGTGGCACTTAACATAATTCTACCTCAAAATAACACATTATAGAATAATTTATAAATATATATAATCTGCATTTTCCTACAATGCATCAACAATATTGCACATAAGTCTATCCAAGCTTGAGCACTTATCTTCAGAAGCACTGCTGGTATCATTCTTTGGCCTTAACTGAAGCTCCTCGAGGGAAGGCACAAGTAGTTTTGAATCAAGGTCTAAGTTATCAGGCAAGGATGACAAAGCTTCCCTAACAAGTCTACTCACTTCATCTTCTTGTCTTTCTAACCGTTCTGCGACCTGTATAAAATTGTATAACACTGTACAATATTTACACAATTAACAGACGGAAGAAGTGTTCAAAATTTACAGAGTGCTTGGATCAAAAAGTTATCCAGCGCTCTATGCAATAACATTATTCACACTTGCATGCACACTAACCACTCCCCTCCAAGTTTAAGCTATGTACACAAGCATACAATAAAAAAATATAATAGGTTAAAATACATTACCCACACCAATAAAATATATATTAACCAAGTCTTGAAAGACATGATGATGCAAGGATATAGGGTAAGAATAACGACTGTTTATCTTGGAGTGTGCTAACATACCAATAAAAACACTGATGCAACTATAAGGTTAAAAGTGCTGTTGTCAGAAAGGTAGCCAGGCCTAGAGCATTAGAAAATTACTTAGATTAAACTCCTGGTAAATTACGACAGCTCCTGCATTGCATGGCTCACACTGGAATTTTTTTCTGATTGTTTCCATAATTAGAGATTACTAAATATGAAGTAGATACAGTATGTTGGATGAAAGAAAATAAGGTTGAAGATCTCTTATTGTTGGCCAATGCCACAACACATGAAAATGATAACTGCTTAGAATCAAGCATGTTTCTACTACTTAACCAAGCTACTTTTGTCTATGGACTGAAGGATCATATAAACATACAAAACAAAGACTGCCTAAGAAAAGAAATGTCAAGTCATGTTTTAGTGGGAATCATGTTTCAAGCACAGTGCAAGCTTCTTGAGGAAGAAAGAAACTGAGAAATATTTAGCAAGCGTGCATGAGCGTGTTAGATAGGAGTGAATGGAGACGAATGATACTTGGGACCTGACGATCTGTTGGAGTGTGAGCAGGGTAATATTAGTGAAGGGATTCAGGGAAACCGGTTATTTTCATATAGTCGGACTTGAGTCCTGGAAATGGGAAGTACAATGCCTGCACTTTAAAGGAGGGGTTTGGGATATTGGCAGTTTGGAGGGATATGTTGTGTATCTCTATACATATATGCTTCTAAACTGTTGTATTCTGAGCACCTCTGCAAAAGCAGTGATAATGTGTGTGTGTGGTGAAAGTGTTGAATGATGATGAAAGTATTTTCTTTTTGGGGATTTTCTTTCTTTTTTTTTTTGGGTCACCCTGCCTCGGTGGGAGACGACCGACTTGTTGAAAAAAAAAAAAAAATAAAGAATACAGGAAAGAGTAAGGTTATGAGGATAACAAAAAGATTAGGTGATGAAAGATTGGATATCAGATTGGAGGGAGAGAGTATGGAGGAGGTGAATGTATTCAGATATTTGGGAGTGGACGTGTCAGCGGATGGGTCTATGAAAGATGAGGTAAATCATAGAATTGATGAGGGGAAAAGGGTGAGTGGTGCACTTAGGAGTCTGTGGAGACAAAGAACTTTGTCCTTGGAGGCAAAGAGGGGAATGTATAAGAGTATAGTTTTACCAACGCTCTTATATGGGTGTGAAGCATGGGTGATGAATGTTTGCAGCGAGGAGAAGGCTGGAGGCAGTGGAGATGTCATGTCTGAGAGCAATGTGTGGTGTGAATATAATGCAGAGAATTCGTAGTTTGGAAGTTAGGAGGAGGTGCGGGATTACCAAAACTGTTGTCCAGAGGGCTGAGGAAGGGTTGTTGAGGTGGTTCGGACATGTGGAGAGAATGGAGCGAAACAGAATAACTTCAAGAGTGTATCAGTCTGTAGTGGAAGGAAGGCGGGGTAGGGGTCGGCCTAGGAAAGGTTGGAGGGAGGGGGTAAAGGAGGTTTGTGTGGGGTGCTTCCAGCAGGCATGCTGAGCGTGTTTGATAGGAGTGAATGGAGACAAATGGTTTTTAATACTTGACGTGCTGTTGGAGTGTGAGCAAAGTAACATTTATGAAGGGGTTCAGGTAAACCGGCAGGCCGGACTTGAGTCCTGGAGATGGGAAGTACAGTGCCTGCACTCTGAAGGAGGGGTGTTAATGTTGCAGTTTAAAAACTGTAGTGTAAAGCACCCATTCTGGCAAGACAGTGATGGAGTGAATGATGGTGAAAGTTTTTCTTTTTCGGGCCACCCTGCCTTGGTGGGAATCGGCCAGTGTGATAAAAAAAAAAAAAAAAAATCCAGGACTCAAGTCCAGCTAACTGGTTTCCCCGAATCCCTTCACAAAATATTTGCTGACACTCCAACAGCTTATCAGGTCGCCTCCATTCATTCCTATCTAACATGCTCACGCATGCTTGCTGGAAGTCCAAGCCTCTTGCACACAAAACCTCCTTTACTTCCTCCCTCCAACCTTATTGGGGACAACCCCTACCCTGCCTTCCTTTCCCTACAGATTTATACACTCTCCAAGTCATTATACTTTGTTCCATTCTCTCTAAATGACCAAAGCGCCTCAACAGCCTCTCTTCAGCCCTCTGACTAATACTTTTAGTAACTCCACACCACCTCCTAACTTCCACACTACGAATTCTCTGCATAATATTTAGACACATCTTCACTGCCTCCAGCTGCCTCCTCGTTGCAGCATTTACAACCCAAGCTTCACACCCATATAAGAGTGTTGGTACCACTATACTCTTGTATATTCCCTTCTTTGACTCCATGGATAACTTTTTTTTTGTCTCCACAGATACCTCAACACACCACTCACCTTTTTTCCTTCATAAATTCTATGGTTAACTTCATCTTCATAAACCCATCCACTGACAAGTCAACTCCCAAATATCTGAAAACATTCACTTCTTCCATACTCCTTCCCTCCAATGTGATAACCCTCATCACCTTACTCATATTTATATTCACTTTCAACTTTCTACCTTTACACACCCTCCCAAACTCATCCACTAACCTTCGCAACTTTTTTTTTAGAATCCCCCAGAAGCACAATATCATCAGCAAAAGGTAAACTGTGCCAATTCCAATTCTGTATTTGATTCCCCATAATTTAATCCCACCCCTCGCCTCAACACCCTAGCATTTACTTCTTTTACAACCCCATCTATAAATATATAAAACAACCATGGTGACATTACACATCCCTGTCTAATACCTACTTTTACTGGGAAGTAATCTTTCTTTCTCTTGCACTCCCAAACCTGAGCCTCACTATCCTCATAAAAGATCTTTACAGCATTTAGTAGCTTACTACCTATTCCATATACAGTGGACCCTCGACTTACGATATTAATTCGTTCCAGAAGGCTGTTCGGGTGCCCTTACTGAATGAATTTGCTTCCTTAAGGAATATTGTAAATTAGATTAGTCTGTATCAGACCCCCAAAAGTACACTTACAAAAGCACTTACAAAAATACACTTACATAATTGTTCGAGTTGGGAGCTAATCGTAAGTCGGGGTCCACTGTACTTGCAACATCTGCCACATTGCTTCCCTATCCACTCTATCATATCTTTCTTTCTTTCAACACACTGGCCGTATCCCACCGAGGCGGGGTGGCCCAAAAGGAAAAACGAAAGTTTCTCCTTTTACATTTAGTAATATATACAGGAGAAGAGGTTACTAGCCCCTTGCTCCCGGCATTTTAGTTGCCTCCTACAACACGCATGGCTTACAGAGGAAGAATTCTGTTCCACTTTCCCATGGTGGTAAGAGAAAATAAACAAGAACAAGAACTAGTAAGAAAATAGAAGAAAACCCAGAGGGGTGTGTATATATATGCTTGTACGTGTATGTGTAGTGTGACCTAAGTGTAAGTAGAAGTAGCAAGACATACCTGAAACCTTGCATGTTTATGAGACAGAAAAATGGACACCAGCATCATATAAAACAATTACAGGCTTTTGTTTTACATTCACTTGGCAGGACGATAGTACCTCCCTGGGCGGTTGCTGTCTACCAACCTACTACCTATACTCTATCATATGCCTTTTCTAAATTCATAAATGCCATGAAAACTTCCCTACCTTTATATAAATACCGTTCACATATATGCTTCAATGTAAATGCCTAATCTACACATCCCCCACCCATTCTAAAGCCTACTCGCTCATCTGCAATCCTGCTCTCTGTCTTACCTCTAATTCTTTCAATAATAACCCTACCATACATTTACCTGGTATACTCAGTAAACTTATTCCCCAATAATTTTTACAATCTCTCTTGTCTTCCTTCTCTGCCAATCCCTAAGTACCTTCCCCTCTTTCATAAATTTTTTTATTATTTTTATTATCACACTGGCCGATTCCCACCAAGGCAGGGTGGCCCGAAAAAGAAAAACTTTCACCATCATTCACTCCATCACTGTCTTGCCAGAAGGGTGCTTTACACTACAGTTTTTAAACTGCAACATTAACACCCCTCCTTCAGAGTGCAGGCACTGTACTTCCCATCTCCAGGACTCAAGTCCAGCCTGCCGGTTTCCCTGAACCCCTTCATAAATGTTACTTCGCTCACACTCCAACAGCACGTCAAGTATTAAAAACCATTCGTCTCCATTCACTCCTATCAAACACGCTCACGCACGCCTGCTGGAAGTCCAAGCCCCTCGCACACAAAACCTCCTTTACCCCCTCCCTCCAACCTTTCCTAGGCCGACCCCTACCCTGCCTTCCTTCCACTACAGACTGATACACTCTTAAAGTCATTCTGTTTCGCTCCATTCTCTCTACATGTCTGAACCACCTCAACAACCCTTCCTCAGCCCTCTGGACAACAGTTTTGGTAATCCCGCACCTCCTCCTAACTTCCAAACTACGAATTCTCTGCATTATATTCACACCACACATGGCCCTCAGACATGACATCTTCACTGCCTCCAGCCTTCTCCTCGCTGCAACATTCATCACCCATGCTTCACACCCATATAAGAGTGTTGGTAAAACTATACTCTCATACATTCCTCTCTTTGCCTCCAAGGACAAAGTTCTTTGTCTCCACAGACTCCTAAGTGCACCACTCACCCTTTTCCCCTCATCAATTCTATGATTCTATTATTTAACAAAAATACCAACCACTCCAACACTATAACTCCCCCTGTTTTTAACATTTCTGTCATGATCCCGTCAGTTCCAGCTGCTTTACCCTCTTTCATCCTACGTAATGCCTCATGCACCTTCCCCACACTCACATCCTGCTCTTCTTCACTTCTAAAAGACGTTATACCTCCCTGGCCAGTTCATGAATTTACTGCCTCCCTTTCTTCATCGACATTTAAAAGTTCCTCAAAATATTCCCGCCATCTACCCAATACCTCCAGCTTCCCATCTACTAACTCCCCTAACAAGATATGGTGCATTAATGAAAAAGGATTGCCAGCATTATTAAAAATCACAAAGAAATGCTAAACCCAAAAAAGGTCAAACACCTAAAGAATAGTAGACTAGATATGAGGAAGTGGAAAGTAATTCCAATTCATTGAATCACGAGCCCTTCAACAGCATGAGAATACCCCTTTTCCTTAAAGAGAAACTAGCGAGGATTGTGAAGTACTGTCCTGGAGGTGTAGAAGGAAGAGGATGGAAATGATATTCTACACAAGGAGAAAAAAAAATACAGCCAGAACAGTATTTTAGAATGCATGATATGAATCAGCTGAAACATTTTACTTTTATTTTAAGTACTGTAGCTGCACTGTATCTGTAGTTAACATTCATCATACATATTATTGGTCAGAAAGCTATAGTAGAAAACAACTGAAAATAAATATGTGATAGGAATTCCAAGAACCCAATCTAGCCATAGCTGTGTGTCTGGAAGACAATTTTTGGTCAATTAGAATTATACAGTAAAACCTCTGTATTCATGAGACAACAGCTCTGGAGACCCAGCAATAATGGAAAAAAGTCTGAGAAAATACTCATGAACTCTGAAGCAAGGTGTGTCTGAATGTGATGGCTATCTCCACCAGTGAAACTCTGCCAACTACCTTCTTCTAGTAAACATTACTGTATCCCTCTCATGCATATATCATAACAAATGAAGTTCTACAGACAATTCAATGGTACAATGGAGGGTGGTAATGGTGGCAAAGAGAGAAGAGATGAAAAATTGTGGGAGAGACAAGGAGTGGTGGTGGTGTACAAGTGATGCTGTCTCATTCAAGTAAACATTCCACTCTTTCCTGACTGTGTATAACAAAATCGAACCGAAAAATTTTAGATGTGTGGAGGGTGAAACATTGGAGAATATGAGAAAGACAGCACAGGTAGTGGTGGCAACAATTCTTCCCATCCTTACTTCATTAAAACACTATTATGTATTGTTCTTTAGAGGCCACTAAAACAAGCCAAATATTTTCTTGAGTAAAAAATGGATTAAAACAAGTCTTTGGAACTGGTACTGTATGTTCACCACTTTCAGTGGGACATGAAAAACTCTTGACAAAGGTCCGAACAAATGGAGGGCATGATGGATTGTAAAAATGTCAAAAAAGTGATGTACTGTGATAAAGGTTGGCAGTTAGTAGTCAATCAGTTTCATGGAAAGAGAAAGTACATAATCAATACAGAAAAAATACAAGACCATATATGGAAAACACAAGAGCAGTAGGTTTACACAGAGGAGCATCATTTTTTTTTTTTTTTAGCATGTTCACCTCCCTCACAGAGGATTTCCTGGAAAAAAAAAAAATAGAGAAACAGAAAGCTTATAGGTGGGTCTGCAAAAAACTTAATTACATACAACATTGGATTTTCATTCATTCAAATATTTAAAACATACCTGATGTCTCTGCCGTTTCTGCATCTCAAGCATCACTCGAACAGTCTCACGTGCTTGATGTGGTCGGAATTCATTAATTAAGTGATGCATGTTGATGAAAAGAATGTTGATATCCTCAATTTTGTCTGTACGTTTTGTAGAATCAGGACATTTTATAAGAATGTCTAGAAGATCCAGAAAGTTAACCAGAATGGAGTGGTTAAGCTTCTTAAGCTCCCTACGATGATCAAAGTTTTGTGGGTAGAGCCGACGAATTGCCTGTAAGACAGAATTCATTAAATCCTTAAATCTATACAGTTTTAACTATGAATATTATTGAATCAAGAGGCAAAGACAGTATGAAATTCAAAATATGACAGCTAAAACTGACCTGAGACTCAAGAGGTCTAATAATGGTGTCATCAGCATTAAAATGGACACCAAACATTGTATAGTCATTGTGTATGGGAAGTGGTGGCTTTGGGGCTCTTCCTCTCCGTATATTTTCATCTGTATATAGATTAATATACTGTGTGGGCGGCAGAGGCCAGCTTGAGGTTGAGGCAGTTTCTGTTGGTAATGCCATCTTCAGTATTCTGAAATGGGCATATGATGAATCACATCATTCAAAATCATCCTATTAAAATGCAACCATTAAATTCATTAAATTATGAAATTATACTATACTCTGATTATTAATATGAAAATATTTCTTATAATGTTAACCCTTTGACTGTCAGTGTCGTATAAATACGTCTTACGAGCTAGAGTTTTTGACGTATTAATACGCCAAAATTCTAGTGGCTTCAAATCAAGCGGGAGAAAGCTGGTAGGCCCACATGTGAGAGAATGGGTCTGTGTGATGTGTGTACACAGTATGAAAAAATCAGGGACCCTGTGGTGCATTGTGGGGAGGCCATTTCAGTACACCTTGGTCATCATGTTTTGCAGTAAGAAGTTCCTTACTCCTCAGCGAATTGGGAATCTTCTGTTCCCAAGTGACAGTTCTAACACCAATGGAAGTGCCAGTGAAGGTAAATTTCATGGTTTTGAGGAGGGTGTGACCAAAAGCAGTGCCCAAGATAACGTAATTAGTGATGAAAACTCAGACAACCCACAACCTTCCACCTCTGGTGCTGGGCCGCCTCATTCACGTTCACCTGTGCCAGGGCAAAAGAGGAAACTATTTCCCCATGTACAGGACTCAAATGTGAGCAGTGAAAATGATAGTGATAGTGATTTCCAAGCTATTGAATGCAATCTGAGTTGCGACAGTGAGGGGGAACATTCTCCAGTGAAGTGGCAGTATGTACGATGCACCATGCATTCTGGTAGTGTGCCATATGCCATTCCAAGGGGAAGTAGTAAATCTCGGAGTACATCCTGTGGCCCTACACCATGAACTAATAGTGAAGATGACGATGATAGTGTTACAATGGGGATGGATAATGTGCGTGGAGCAGCAGGTGGTGGTGGTGCTGGTGGTGACATGTATTATGTGGCACCTGCAGCGGCCCATGTTGTTACCCACACCGCTAACTCAGCACAGCCACAACAAAGGGCATCCTCAACCACCTCCATACTCCCACAACCTGCACAACCACAACCACCTGTCAATATCTAGTACCCACCAGCAGACCACATCTGGGATTAGCAGCAAGGTGCCAATTTTGTTCCCAATCCCCATCTCTTTGATGAAACACAAAGTGAAATACGTACAGCCATCGTGTACATTTCAGAATAATGCCACTGAACTGGAATGCTTTCAGTTATTCTTCAATGAACCCCTGATGGACATTACTGTCAGGCAAATTAACACATACTTTGAATACACCATGGCAAACACAATTGTTTCACCAAGATCACACCAACACAAGTGGAAGGACACAACTGTAGGTTAGATGTATCCGTTCTTTGCCACAATAATGCTTATGCCACATGTGTATAAGCACACTGTCACCACATACTGGTAGACAGACCACCTAATTTCAACGTATGCTACACTTCTCAGACAAAACAAGGCCTGACAGAAATGACAGGTTATATAAGATCAGGAATGTGTTATGTACCTGAAACAAAAGTGCTGTATGTATTTTTATCCCTTCAGGAAGCTTGTTATTGATGAGTCTTTGATTTTGTTCAAAGGTAGACTGTTGTTAATTATAACAGTATATACTAAGCAAGAGGAACCGCTTTGGTATAAAGTTATTTGTACTGTGTGATTGCAAAAGTGGTCTGGTTTTGGATATAATTGTGTACACTGGCAGTAATATATTGCAAGATACCAGGAAGTTATTGGGTATCTCTGGAGATTATATTCCTTTATAACAGCACAAAGCATCCCCAACCCCTGCCAATTTGGCTTCAGAAAAAACAAAAGCACAAAAGGTGCTTTACACTGCACTTGAAAAAATGAATTTCCATTAGGACTCTTTATCGACCTAAGGAAAGCATTTGATACAGTAGACCACAGCATCCTACTCCACAAACTTGAGCATTATGGCATAAAAGGCCACGCACTTACATATTTCAAATTCTACCTAACTAACAGGTAGCAATAAGTCTCTATTAAGGACACAACCTCATCAATAAGACCACTGGATACTGGAGTACCACAGGGAAATGTCGTTGGTCCCCTGTTCTTCCTCTTATACATCAATGATCTACATACTGTTTCACAACACCCTGAGCCTATTCTTTTGCTGACGATATGATGTATGTCATCTCCCACCCTAATCTTGCCTCACTTAACACTATTGTTAACGAAGAACTAGTAAAAATATTGACCTGGATGACTGCTAATAAACTTACACTTAATACTAACAAAACCTTCTACATTCTGTTTGGGAACAGAACAGGTGCTGCCCAGCTGAATGTAACAATTGACAACACTCCTATTGCTAGACATAATGAGGGTAAATTCCTGGGCCTGTACCTTGACAGTACAGTGGACCCCCGGTTAACGATTTTAATCCGTGCAAGAGGGGTAATTGTTATGCGAAATAATCGCTATGTGAATGAATTTTCCCCATAAGAAATAATGGAAATCAAATTAATCCGTGCAAGACACCCAAAAGTATGAAAAAAAAATTTTACCACATGAAATATACATTTTCCCACACACAAAGAGAAGGATACATGCACAATAGTAGAGTAGTACATGCACAGTATATATTGTGTATGTACTAGTCTACTAAATGAAGAATAAATGACACTTACCTTTATTGAAGATGCAGCAATGACTGATGAGACACTGTGTCCTGGGAGTGCCTTTTCCTCCTGAGTACTGTAGGTCCTGTTTGGCATTTTCTTCCAGAACAGGCCTTATCACACTGTGTATGCCACTACGATTCTTAAATCTCTCAAACCAACCTTTGCTGGCTTTAAATTCACCAATATGAGCACTAGTTCCAGGCATTTTTCCCTGTTCACCTGGGTGTTAGTCGACTGGTGTGGGTTGCATCCTGGGAGACAAGATTAAGGACCCCAATGGAAATAAGTTAGACAGTCTTCGATGACACTGACTTTTTTGGGTTATCCTGGGTGGCAAATCCTCTGGGGTTAATTGTTTCTTGGTATTCTCAATAAGCCACACCAACAACGGTGCTACAGCAGCAGCAGCAGCAGCTGACAGTGCAGCAGCAGCAGCAGCTGACAGTGCAGCAGCAGCAGCAGCTGACAGTGCAGCAGCAGCAGCAGCTGTACCACCAATAGTAGCGATGGTTGATTGGGGTTTATTATACAACCTGGCCAGCTCGGAGACATGCACTCCACTTTCATACTTATCAATGATCTTTTTCTTCATCTCTATTGTAATTCTCACCCTTATTGCTGTAGGGTTGGCACTAGAAGCTTTCTTGGGGCCCATGGTCACTTATTTTCCAGAAAAAGCACCGAAAACACTGTAATAATACGAAATATTCCGATTGTATGCTTGGATGTTACCGCGGAGGCTGGCTGGTAAACAATGCCACCGGCGGAACATGTGAGCGTGGCTCAGGCCGCACATTGGACGCGTCTCGGACGAAAATCGGTAAGCGGGTTTTTAAGCGGTATGTGAGGCAAAATTTTTGCAATTAAAGTAAGCGGTATGCGAAATAATCGCTATGTGATGCCATCGTTATGCGGGGGTCCACTGTATCCTGAAATTCAATACCCATATCCAACAAACAACAAAAAAAGTATCCACCAGAGGCCAGGCCTCTCGGGCATGCCAGCCTGCCCACCCCTGCTTCTACCTCACTCTCCCAGTGGCCTTCACTCAGACAACAGGCTTTACTCCTCTCTCCCTCGTGGGCATGGCCCTCCCGGGCCATGGGCACTTAACACACTGCTTGTGTACCCCATGACATTGCAAATAAAGTAAGAGGCCTCCGAAGCCTTTATTATTACTCCCTGCGCAACAAGAAGTACCAATAAACCTGTAAACATTGGTGGAAGTGGCGGTCGCAGCAAGTGTGTTTGCCCGAAGAGAGGAAGGAAGAGGGATGAAGTCGTCTTCACTTCATCACCCCACACAAGAAGCATCCGTCTCTCAACGAGTTATCCTGATGTCGTGTCTGCACGTTTCAGCATCCAGACACAGGTACAAGCAGGATTTGGCCGAAATTTACCGAATTTCTTCGAGAATTGCAAATGGCATCCCTGTGACTCCACACTACAGCATCCCATGCTGTTTAAGTCACGTGTTCAGCGCGTGGTTCTGCTGTTGTTGTTCAGCTCAGTACAGCTATTTCAGCAAGTCAGAGGTGAATTTGTGGTGATTTCAGCATCCAATGTGGGTGTTTCTCCAAGTGGGTATGTGGGAGAGGAAATGGCCGGGTTCCTTGCCTCATGTGCTCGCCCGCCTACCACCACACTCCACCACTATGTACTCACTGTCTATGCTGTGTTTCCTGGGAATTCTCCATGTGAATTCATTGCCAGAGCTGTGTATGCGAGTGCCCAAGGCCACTCAAAGCCACATGGATCACTAAGCCACGTGTGGACGAAGCCACATGGATCACCAAGCCATGTGGATCACCAAGCCAAGTGGACCACAAAGCCACGTGGATCACCAAGCCACGTAGATCAGCAAGCCACGCAGAGTGTCGGCGCTGCCATGTGGATCTACAAGCCACGTGGGTTACGAAGCCAGACGTCCTAGGCCACATGCTGTGGTCTGCTGCCGCATCACACTGACGTCACCTTATGATGTCACCCACAATGCTGCCCAACTTCACGGTGTCACCTCAAGACGTCTACTGACATCACCATGCTGCTGACGTCACCTTGCGACATCACGCCTGATAACACATGATGTCACATCAAGTGTTCTAGTAATTATTTCAGTATTGTCGAGAAGATTGAGAGAAGATATATGTCATGTGTTAATTAATTCCTCTCAGTCAGTGTTCTCAAAAGTTCGTGTATAGCTTAGTGTCGATTTTTGCACAGAAAAGCGTAATTTACTAGTGTAAGTCATGTAGTACCGCATGTACAGTGCAGGTGTGTGCAGTTTCCATGTGTCCTGTGTGATCTTGAGTCTAGACCACTGTGTAGCACCTCATGTTACTTGTCACCCGGTGTGACCAGCACGTTAGACAGCTGATATTAG